GTCCCACACTCGCACCACTCCGTCTTCAAAACCAGCTGCAGCAGTCTTTTCACTCATGCACATAGCTCTAACTGGCCAAGAAATACAGGACTTCATCCCTCCAGTACTATCACATTTACAAGTTGCACATCGACGCATATATCTTTCAAGTTTTCTTAATGGTGTACCTTGCATTCCATTCCATGATGTAATATGTTTGTCGGTAGCACATGTAATTATAACGCCATTAAGGTTTGCACAAAGTAAATCAATATCGGCTAAATGACGACCACGTAAAGTTATAATTTGAGGAATGGTGGCGTATAAGCTAGAACTTCCAGAAGGCGGAGATGCAAGTATATTTTTACATTCATTACTACTTGTTTTTTCTAAAATTCGAATTACTAGTTTCTCTGGTGATGTGAAACCCATCATAATAGGCGTAGTAAATACTATTCCAATAATAGGAAGTATAATGTACTTGAGAAACCAAACAAAAGTTTTTATAATTAATCTCCAATTTATATCGCCATTGAATGGATAAGATATATCATCTTGTTCAATATCATAAGACAAAGTCAAATGTCTAGTAGGCAGAATTTCAACAATTTGATCTTTTTTGTCCGGATTAACAATGCTCCAAAATTCGTTAGCAGTTTTATCCATTGATGTTTCCCAGAAAGTGATATTTGTATGTATAGCAGGAGGAGCTGTAGAATTACCAATTAAACTGCTCAGTGCAGATGGAACTTCAATATTGGTGAACTCGATATTAGTGTGATAAATATTCGTCACCCATACCAGAAAGATAAGAACCTATGTAGTGGAAGAAGCAACTCAATTCACCCATATCTGATAAGATAGTCAAAAAGAATAAACTTATACATACCACCAACGAACAACCAATCCTACGGCCATAATTGGCTGTTTTTGAAGGCAGAATAATGTTTCTATCTGTGTTATCATTATCAGCGTAATAAGTGCATATTTTCTTTTACAATAAATGATAGAAGATTATTAAAATTAATTGTATTAACTTAATTATAAAAAAGGAATCGTTACATAATAAATATAAATATTATACCTCTAATTCAAACCATTCAAGATCAATGGACAAAACTGCTACAAAAAACGTTATTTGTAGCACATAGTCGATAATCATGGCAATTGATGTGAAAATGCAAAATTCTTGAATATCAATACTAATCATTGAAAATAACAGTAACACCAAGAGCCAACATATGAGCATTTTTGTATTAGTATATCCAACTTTTTCAAGACCTAAAAAAGCATAGCACGTGTTAAGATAAAAAATTATATACTGAAAAGACCAATTAGAGAGTATTCAAATATACTACCTTTGGCGATACGTTCTTTTACATTCAATTGCGTGGGAATCGACGTTACCGCATTTGTTAAAATAAATGTATTTTCGACACCGACCAGGATAAGGATAAAAGGTAATAGTTTCCTGAATTAATGCCAAAATTTTTTATTATTCGTGCATGATGATATACTATGATCGATTTATAAATTTCTCAACATACCAGGATACAGAAGCAAATGTTAATGTGATACCAAATAGAGCGCAGATGCTAAGAGACATAATTAACGAAGCAAACACATGAGCTACGGCCGAGAAAA